AAAAAGTCAGATCTGTGTGGCATTTGCTAATATCGTAAGTCTGACATCTACACAGCCCTTGTACTCGTAGAAACTGGTTTTAGATCTGGAAGAATAACAATTCATAATTGGAAAGGAGAAGAAAAAGTCAGATCTGTGTGGCATTTGCTAATATCGTAAGTCTAACATCTACACAGCCCTTGAAGCCCTAGAAACTGGTTTTAGATTTGGAAGAATAACAATTCATAATTGGAAAGGAGAAGAAAAAGTCAGATCTGTGTGGCATTTGCTAATATCGTAAGTCTGACATCTACACAGCCCTTGTACTCGTAGAAAGAGGTTTTAGATCTGGAAGAATAGCAATGCATAATTGTGGCCGCCACAGCATATATTATGCAAAACGTATATTACGGAAGGAAGAGTAGAGGAAGAAATAAGACTTGAATTTTTTCTTTTTGGTCATTTATGACTGTGGAATGGAACATATGGAACCGTGCTTAGAAGTAGGACAGTCTTTACAAGCGTTAGAGATTCTATTAATTTTCATATTTTATATTAAACACATTAAAATTGTTAGTTGAAAAAAAAAGTATATATATATATTAACTTTATTCGCATCTAAACGATATATTTTTTACTTTCATTTGTAAAATATGTGGACTTTTTTTTTTTTTTTTTTTAACATCTACATGCAATGTTAAATATGTTTAGTGTTACACTTGCGATCTCTGATTGTTGAAGACGAACGATCCGACTTAATTGTTGTTGTTATTTCAACATACTCATTGGATGGAATAGGAGGAAAATGGAAAAAATACCGTCCACCAACATAAAACAATATTCACCTATTTTTCTATACACATGTATGTACATATATATGTATTCGTTATTAATAGTAATTAGGAATGTATATGAGAGAGAAATGAGATAACGTTTTCATTCCTTAAATGGTTACAGTCAGAACTGTTTTCACGTACATATAAAAAATAGTTTTCACAGCACAATTAAAAAGTTTTTTTTTCTTTTTTATGCGGTGAGTAGAGACCGCATAAATGCAGAGAAATGAGAGAGATGACTGTATCAAGAGATTTAAAATTTCATCAAATTTTTTAAAACGATTGATTTTGAGAAATTTTTGAGAATTGTTTTGGAATAAAAGTACTTTCCTAAGAGGGTGTTTTTTTTTTCATTTTTTATTTATTTATTTATTTATTTTTTTTTTTGAAAGATATTTATTATAATTTTAATAAATTTTTATTTTTTTTTTTGTATATATGTGAATGTATGGCATACACAGGTTTTTTTTTTTATATATATATATTTCTTTTTTCTTTCATTTCAAACTTTTGATTTATAATTTTGAATATTATTTTATCTTTTATTTTTCACATTCGTTATTTAGAATTGCTACGTAGAAAAAACAAAAAAAAAGCAAAAACAAAGAATAGGTTTATTCAATAGAAGGAAGAAGTTAATAAAATGATCGAGGTTTTTTTCATTAATGTTAAGCCTATTTAAGAAAAATAAAAGCAAAAAAAAAAAAAAAACTCTTTATATATTATTTTAGAAAAAGAAAAAATCAACTAAAATGTAAAGAAGTTCATTTTAAAGCGTTTGGTTTATTGCATTTTTTTTTTTTTTTTTTTTCAAAATCCATTTAATAATCATTCTCTCCTTTTCGATCCTGTAAATCGTTCGTTACTTTCAAAAAAAAAAAACCTTAAAGTAAACTTAAAGGCAAAACGTATTTTGGTATATTAGTTAGTTAAACGTTAACTTAAATGCATTAAAAAATAAAAATAAAAAATTAATAACAAATGTTTATAACAGAACTTAAATTAAAAACATGACACTTTTGTTCCCCTATATACGTTACAACATTACAAACGGAAACTTTTTTTCATTTATGGTTTTCTTTTCTTTTTTTTGTTTTGTTTCTTTTTTTTTTTTCTTGTTTTATTTTTTATTTTTATTTATTTATTTTTTTTGTTTTCTTGCTAAGGATATCATTTCATTCTTTATTGACCTTTAGTTTTGGTGTTTTTGTGTATGAATGTTTTTTTTTTACTTCTCTTTTGTCTTCTTTTTGTATGATTTGTTTCTATCATAAGGAAAGTTAAAATATCACATGATTGTTTTTCTTTTCTTTTGCCTTAACTTAAAAATAATGTAAAAAAAAAACGAAAAAAAAAAAGAAAATAAAAAGAAAAAAAACAAAGAAAAGTAAAATAAAAATTTATTTAAAGAAAACTTAAATAGAAATATGTTTAAAAGATTTTTTTAAAATTCATAACACAATTGCCGTAGAGAAAAGTAAAGTGAACCAATTATAGGAAAGGATAGAAGAAGGAAGTGATCGTAAGGACTAGCTTCGTTTTGGTTTAATATTATTCGTGCTATTGATTATTATTATTATTATTATTATTATTTTTTATTATTTTTTTTTTAAATTATTTTCTTTTCATTTAAATTAAACGTTGTTTTGCTTTTGTTTTCTTTTCATTTTCATTGTTTTATGACTAAAGCAATCTTTTAAAATATTTGTTTTCTTTTTTTTTTCTTTTTTAAATATAAAGAAAAAATCTGTGCGTGGTCAAGCAACTGTAATTAAATAATAAATAGATTAATAATAATTAATAAAATTAATTACCATTTTGCTACACAATAATAATTTTTTTTTTTTTTTTTTTTTTTTTTTTTTTTTTTTTTTTATAAATTAAAACAAACAAGGATACTATACGAGGTCAGACTTTTCTTTTTTTTTTTTCATCTAAAGCCCTACACCACTGGGGAATAAAATTACTTTATTTATATAGTTAAACCAAAGTTTAAGAATTTTTTTGTTTTTTTCTGTTTCTCACCTTTATTAAGTGTAAGTGATAAAAAAATAGAATAATAGGTGGTAGGAACGTGATTCGAAGATACAAATGATCAAAATTGAAATTTCACGACAAACCTAATCACCCTGTCATACATTCTTTATAGGGTCGCGGATTCATCTCGATCGTCTCAAGTGAATATATATATATGAAAAGCGTAAGAGATTTTGGTAATTTTGTGGCGTTCAGCCAAAGTTTTAGACGTTCTCATTGAATACCTTCTTCGTATTGTCGTTCGAATGAATGAATGAATAATTGATTACAAATAAAAACAAATAGATACAAAGGTGTTTATTTAACCCCCGTAATATTAGGTTAGGTTCAGGCGTTAGGCATTCGAATTTCTTATCTTAGCTGAAATGATTCATGTTAATGAAAAAAAATGACACGTGTATGCAAATTGCAAGGGAATTATTTTGCAAGCCTTTGCAAGTCTTTGCACGACCTATCGTTTCGAGTGGTGTAGAGTTTAATTAACGAAAATGCAAATCTGATTAGAAGGGAAAAAGAAAATGATTAAAGCTCTTCCTGTGTACCATTATAAGCACAATTTTAAGCCATTAAAAATTCCTCATGTAGACAATCGGCATCCAATGATTTATTTGATTTAAATATAAAACTATTGTCACCTTGACTGGAACCTTGTGATGATTTGGTGCTTATTGACATATTATATAAATCATCTAAATCTTGACTGCGGGCAAAACTGCAAATTTTCGCAAAAATATTTTCATCAAAATTTTGAAATAAGCGACTTTTGTGCGTTCTGATTACCTGCTCGCCGGTCGACCATAGGTCGAATTGCTAGGACTAGCTGGATTATTACTATTATTACTGTCGTTATCTTCGTTTTCTTTATTGGTCTGATTACTATTATATAGATCACAATTATCCAGATATTCACCTCGTAAATACGTATTCAAATCATGCTCTTCTTCTTCCTGTTCATTGTAATCTTCATTATTGTCTTCATGCTGTTGAGACTCCACCATGCACAGCCACTGCGAGTTATGATTACGGAATTTCTCCAACTTTCGGAAGCATTGCGTAAAAAATAAACAAAAAAAAAAAAAAAAAAGAAAAAAACAAGAAAGAAAAGATGAAGGGAAAATAATATTAAATATGTATCTCTAAGAATTTTAAATCTTTCTTGAATCCCTCTTGGGCAGGTGGCAGTCGAAATGGTAAATTTAAAAATTGATTAAAAAAATTTCTTCTACTACGTCATCAGATAGACATGTTCGAAAACTTTATTATCAACTTTTCACTTTGAGTTTCTTGTTTTTTTGTCCCAAGGGCGCAGGGTAAATTTTAACAACAATCAGAACGGACTTTCAGTCAGAGACCCTATAACCCATATATGCATTTTTGATCAGTAATAAATTCTGAATCGATTCATCCGTAGTCCTGCATATCCTCTCTGCAGTTGTTACCTGTGGGAATAATTCTCCTAAATTCAAATTGAAGAAAAAATATTTACGCCATATTAAGATAAGATCATGTTCATAATAAAGTACATTAACCGAGAATATCTTTGCGTTCAAAAGCAAGGCTCATTACTCATAAAATAGCGCAGATGCAACGACAAGCGATGAAGCGTTCGTTAAGAAATTCATGTGGTTTATAATTCTAGAAAATCGTGTTGATATGCTATTCACCACTCGACCACTATCCGATTACATTCGTAAGCCGACGACAATGATTAAATTAAAACAATTAAGAAAATTATACGCGGTCGTGACCGAAACTTTTGCTTCAAAGAGGCGAAAAAGTAAATGAATTCAATTTTAATACATTATAAGATTGGGTAGGCGTGGGCAATGTCTTCTATTTTTGTACACGTACTACAGCATCACCCGTTGAATATGCGTTAATATTTTTGTACATTTATCGGGCTATAGTTTTCAATAGCAACGTGTGCACAAGCATGCGCGCAATATTTTCGCCAAATTTGAATGTCATAGTTTCATGATAGACCACTAGAGAGACGAAGCGACGGATATGCTTACATCAACTTGGAATTTAATGTTAACCAAAAATAGATATACTGTGTGTGTGTGTTGCAAGTGCTTTGACGAAAATAAAAACAAAAAGTTTCAGAGCCAAACGCTATCTCGAACTGTATCATAATATCAGCAATCCAGTGCACAAATCAAAGTATTCCTAAAGGAAGGTGGGAGAGGAGTCAAATCTACTATGTGAGGCTTAAATGACATTATATTGTTTATGTTGATAAGGATAGGCGACGTCGTTCGCATAATAATGAAAGATTTTCATCGTGGGTTGATCTAAAATGATTGCGATCGATGGACCAGCTAAAAGGAAACTGAACAAACAACATCTGTATCCAAAGGAGAGGCGCCATTCTGGCAAAAATAGAAGGCGGCGCGAATGCTACACTAGCTTGTTGGAGTTTTTTTTAAAAAAGATCTTACGGATACAAGAGAGCAAGCGCTTCGGCGATCGTTAGCAACATTTTTACAATTCCTTGCTCTATCGTTCCTCTCGTAGGAACTATGTTCCTTTCTTTAATTTGAATTTGTTTGGGCAGCTATTTCGCGAATATCCCTCTTCTCTTAGTTAAACGGCAGCAAATTCAATGGCCTTTCCATCCTGAAAGAGCGCAAAGATAGTTTTACCGGTTTACCATATTCTGATATTTTTCACCTATCGCCCACAAAGACGGGATAGAATGACAAAAATTTTCATAAATACATTGCATGAGTTCAACTACTTTCATTTTGGCTAGCTGAAGCCTATCAAAATTACCCATTTTTCTGAAGGGTTTACCATTCGAAGAAATCTTATATGGATTGAAATCCAAAGAAATGGACCTATGTGGTTCAAATTTGGTTCACTTAATTCTTATCTCAAATTATTATTATGAACAAGTTTTCATCATAGAACATTAACTATTAGGCCTTTTCGGTATATAAGAATTTAGATTTCCTAATAATCCTTATATGCGATGGCATGCAAAAAATAGGCCAACATGGTCAAAATTCGGTACTTGGCGAGTTTTGTTGAAAAATTTTGAAAATTGAATTTCTTTCTTTTCAAAAAAATGCCGATAAAAGAGGATTTGGTTCTGAACCGAGTCATTTTCAATAACGTGCGTTCTTAAGCCAAAACACGTCAGTGTATCAAATTTGATCAAAACTTTGCAAAAATTGCGAACAGACGGATAGACAAGCTTAGATCGATTCAGAATCATTTCCTGAATATAACAAATGACGGGTCTACCTCACGTACTACTAAGTGTTACAAACCTTTGCACAAACTTATTATACTTCGCACTATATATGTTGTAGGGTACAATGAACGTTTGGCAGCTCTAGAAAACCAATTTATCTTTTTGCTTAAGTTGCGTTTTCGTATCGCTACGGGATAAAATTTTGCAACTAGATCAGTAGACAAAAATTTCGTGAGAATATAACTGAGAACCTAGTTATGAATAACGAGATCTTCCTCCCGAAAATATAAAACCAAGAGGCAAAATGATCAATTAACTTGATGAGCGGGCCAGACAATTCGAATACATCGAATTTGAACTTAAGTCCATTCATTATTCTATATATAATATTAATCTGGATCTTGATCTAGTGGCTAATTAATTTGATATACATCCTTGACTATATGTTTCCATGCCAGTTCGATTTAATAGATCAAACAAATATTTGCGATACGTTCGAGTTATCATGGCCATGAGGCAGAGATTTAACATGCTGGCGAAGAATTATGAAAACGGAATCAATCAGAATTGATGCTTTAATAATCAATATTTTTGAATAGTTATACGATCAGTTGATTCCAAGTATCGGGCGATCGAATACTTTGGACTTAGCTCCTCTAAAGAAAAATAAAACTCTTTTTCCTATATCGCCATTTACTATAAGAAGAAATGTTAAACATGCAACGATGCAAACTGTAAATCACTTCTATCAGAGGTATGAACATCATTTTGAAAGTGATTGCCTGCAATGAAGGACATTGTTGTGTAAATTTTGATTATTGTTGTTTTAAGAGTGTTAACTAATCAGGTTTTGAAAATTTTATTTACTTTTTCTTTTTTTTTTTTTTTTTTTTAGTTTCTTTTCGCAAAACTCACCTTAATACGTTTCGCCCATTCGTTATTGCTGATGGCTATAATATCTAAGCAGTAGTCACAAACTTTGCGTATCTCTGAATTTTTGTCATGCATCAAATCGATAAGATACGCCGGTGACTCGGTCTCTTTAATCATATATTCACGGGTGCTTTCGTGCCGCAAAATTTGCTGGAAAACAAATATAATTTGCAATACAATCTCGTCGTCCTCCTGTTTCGCTTTCAATAATTCGATAAGTGATAAAACGACTTGTGCTCGACAAAATAGTAATGCGCACAATTCGTCATGAGCGCATGTGCCTAAATAGACAATTGTATCCAAAACGAGATCATCCATTTTGGTGCCCGGCAATAAAACATTGCGTATCCATGGTATTAATTGAAAGTTTTGCAATATTTGCGAATAATCCAAATCGGCCAATGATAGATTACCCAATATGCCCAAACATTCAACGATAAAGGATTCGTCGTCGCATATAGTTAGGATGCGAGCTAAATCGCCTACATAATCGATGAATAATGGCTGTAACGATTCATGCTGGGAAAGATTACGTAACAATTTCATTAATAGGCCATCTTGATATTTGAAGGCGCGATCCATAAGACTATGTAAGCGATTGCCTTCAACCATAATTTGGGCATTGCGACGATTCAATGAAAGGTTAATGCATAATGCAATTAAATCGAGATCAACTTTAGAATTTAAGTTCAAAATGATCGCGTCTGTAGCCATTTGTACACATTCGGTGTGTGTAAACAACGCTTTGACCTATGACAAATTAATAATATGTGCGGGGGAAATAAAAAGAAAATAATTAGATTGTTAGGTTAGAGAAACTGAATGAATTAATGAAATTAATTTTTTTTTTTTTTTTTTTTTGTTTTGCTTTTTTACCTTATCATCCAAACTCATATGATATAAAATTTTGACTGCTATTCCATGATGTTTCTCATCGTTAATAAACATCACTAGCATAGGTAGATAACCGGCTGCTATCATCTTTTTTCGTATGGAACCATCGAATGAGAGATTGAATACTAATTTCAAAGTGACTTGCACGAGATCTGAGTGACCGCTTTGAAAAAGTCGGGGCAGTTTTGCAACTATATTTAAATCGCTCATGTCATCTTTATTATCGCCAACTATTGACAATTTCTTAAGGAATGTTGTAATTAACATAAGCAAATCGATATTTTGTCTATCCAAAGCTTTAACCAACATTTTTACTATATTTTTACGGCGCATTTTCTCTTCAAGTTTTACATTTTCAGCCATATTGAGCAGCAGATAGAATGCCACTCTTAATAGTTGTTCTTGCTTTTTAGCAAACAATTTCAATTGTTTATTTAAACGATCAATTTCCTCCTTTTTAACTTTGGGATCGTTACGATCTAAAGCTTCATTACTGGTCGCTTTCATGTCACCGCTGCTCGACATACCCGAATCGGGTGTCTGAGTACCATTCGATGATAATGCCTCATGGTAGCTGCTATTCAATATTTGACTTTTAATGAGAGACGATGACATGGAACTATGAAAACTCGACCAATTACCGGATTTCGGGCGTTGTTTTAATTCAGGTATACGACGACGAGGCGGCTCCATCTATGTTAAATTACAAATGTATTAAAAAAATACCAAAATAAAAAAAAAAAAAAAAAAAAAAAAATGAGAATAATTCTCTAATACCTCTTTTGGTCGTTCCTCGTTCATGAGATCTAGAAAATCATCGGAGCTATTATTGAGTTTCTCTTTACTGGCCTTAGCTGATAGTGGGGTTGATCCTAAAGGATTTTTACGTACGTCTATTTCATTACGCATACTCTCGTAACGTCTTAACTCGTAATCGATAACATCCATGCAAAGCGAACCAATCTAAAAAGAGGTAAAGGAAATCGATTAAGCAACACGTTCATGCGAACTTTCCATACATCCAACCACCACCTCAAGAATAAACGTAAAAGCACTACTTCGCCTAATAAAATTCTCTACTTATTATGGTACCGTCCATCATTTGTGGTAAAGAGTTTTACCCAGACTCATAAACCAGACGCCGAAAGACTTAAAATAGACTCCATTTTTATTGCTGTCTAAATCGATTAAAACCTGTGAGTCCATGTGTATGTTCATCTGTTCGTCTGTTCGTCTGTTCGGGCCTAATTAATGCTCAACCCTATACTTGTTTTTGTGAAAGCACACATTATAAGAGATCAGGTTAAAAGAATAGATCTACGTGATTCAAATTTCCTACGATTGATTTCTAAATCAATCAAAATCCCATTAGGGACTTTAGCATATAAATGCGTACCTTATATGAGGATCCCGATAGAGACCGACAGGGTCAAAATTTGCTATAGTTAATTTTTACATCAACTTACTATAATATAATAATTTTACCCACGAACTAGACATTTTTCTCATATAAAAACCGTTTCCTAACAACAGTTAGTTATATATATGTAAGAGGGTTCAAAATATTGTTCCATGTCATGGAATATAAAATTTTCTTCACTTTTATCGAGAAATTGTGAAAATTGCAATTTCTTTTTCATATAAGATATTTTTTAAATTGAGGCGTTGCAAGGGGAGCCATCGTAAAGCTAGTCCAATTTATTCTACCTTTGATAGGATGCATTCTTCGGACAAACAACATGTCAAAATATTTTAAAAAATGAGATCTGCAGGTTTAACACAAATATACATGCACAAATATAAGGCAGGTAGACCAATAAGCTTAAATCGATTTAGAAAATAATTCTAAACCGTTTAGTATAAAAAAAATCTAGGTTAAGTTGAATATACCCGTTACCATACCTTGTTTAGAGTATAAAAATTAAAAACTGTTTTTTTCATGATTTTGCGAAAGGACTTTGCCTCATATTTAGCCAGCTGTCCGAACTTTCGGGCTCAACCCAGGTCGATATCGTAAGTTTCTCCCCTAGAACTCGATTTTTGAATATTAAAGAGATTCAGAATTTCACTCTGACCAGGAAATATATATATAGTTTATATATATATATATATATATATATATATATATGTGGTCTCTAAAGGATAATATTTCTAATAATAATTTCCAGAATAACATTGATTAAGTGAAGTTCTTTTCGCTTGGCATCGCGTGGCGATCGTGTATGTATAGTAGAAGAAGAAGAATTTATTGATATACATCAATTTTGAATTACCTTGTATTGCACAATTACGGGATGAAATTTGGTGTAAGTAGAAAAGCAAAAAAATATATAAATTATGTTCGTAGATAAATCTAGACTTTTACGCCAATCCTCACGTAATACACGCGATAAAGCACTCAAGCAAGCTTCTAGAAATTTTACAAAAATTTATAATAATTATTAGTTTTAGTTTTAATTTATTTTAATAAAAAAAAAAAAAATAATAAAATAAAAATGAAAAGCAAAGAAAAGAAAAGCAAAATGAAACGAAATCTAACCGTTCTTCTCTAATTCTTCTAAATTATCCGGATTTCTTGCCACTTGCAAGATCATAGCTGAGCCTCGTATACGTTCACCTAGATCTTCATATAGCAATTCCACATATTCATCAATATGATTAATGCTAATATCTGGAGATTCCGCTTTCGCCTGATTGGACGATGAAGACACACCAGATGAACTCATAGCCGTATGAGGCCTAGCTAGAGAACGATGTGAAGCAATTGCCGAACGATGACCCATATTATTGTCGGCTATATCTATATATATTAAATTGAGATCAAAATGATTATAATTCATATTACATTGGAGAGTTCTTTTTCTGATTTCCCCCTCTCTCGCTCTTTCTCTCTCTCTCTCTCTCTCTCTCTCTCACACACACACACACTTACTTACCTACTCCTGTATTATCTTTACGGTTTTTTAAATAGAATATAATTTGCTCGACATCAGCCAATTGTGACTTATGTATGAGATCGCATTTATCTACAACTTCTCGCGCCAATGCAGCAGGATCTGTTTTAGCGTTTAACGAACGTAAACGTATAACTTTCTGGCAATTCTGTAAAAAAAAAAAAAAAAATGATAACAACAATAATCATAACAACAACAATAATAATAATAATAATAATAATAATCTCTTAATTTATTGTCTATAGACCAGTGATTGAGAAAAATTGATATAAATATTTATACATATGTATATATATATATATATATATATATGTTTTTTTTTTATTTTCGTTTTATTTATTTATTCTTATAATAAGTAATGAAATAAGGTCAAGTATGCCCGCGTGTATACACACTCGTATAAATAATTCATTAAAGTTTGCTCAAACTTTGAGAAAACAAACTTTTTTGTGTATACGGAAAAGAATAAGAAATGAACGGGGCACAGCAAGTAAAACAATCGATATTATGTAAACATAAATAAAAATTGATAAATTAAAGGTTAAAATAAATTCAAAATATTTCAAGTCAATATTTTCTCTCTCTCTCTCTCTCTCTCTCTCTCTCTTCTCATATGCATGCACGCATGCATGCATCGAAAATGTTTCTAGTAAATAAAGTTATTCCTGAGGCATCTTTCAACAAAAAAAAAAAAAAAAAAAAAAAACGGGAAAACAAAACGTTTATCATTTTTATTGAGCATAAGAGTCTATGAGTCTATGAGTTGCTTATTATTGTTTAATATAATCTTCTTAATGACCTAATTTATATATTACCACAACCATTATTATTATAAGCATTTAAATTAATTAAATAAATTTTAATTATTATTAAGGAAAAGCATTATATATATAGCATTAATAGGGCAGAATAGCAGAATAATATTTTAAATATTTCTATTTTTATTTACTACACGGCGATCCTGAACCAATCTGATACTGCCAATCACCCTACATCACTTAAGTGTGAGCATGGTATGTAACACGCAGAGGAGCTTAAGATAGACCCATCTTTTATTATACCGATCAATTCGGAACCATTATCTAAATCTAAGCCTATCCATCCGTCTGTCCGTCTGTCTATCTGTCCGACTTATGTGTGTCCATGTAAATTTATGTCTAAATTATAGGACGCAATTTTTTGAGATATTTTGATGAAATTTGGTACAGTGACGTCCTTTGACCCGAGAACGAACACTGTTGATAATGTTTCGGATAGGTCTACTTGTTCGATCATTCCCTATAAAACGTTTTATATTGAAAAGATGTGAAAAAAAATTACAATTTTTAAAATTTCTCGACAAAACTCGCTCTATAATAGTCTTTGGACATTTTGAACTGATGTGAAAAATTTGGCTCTGCTGAGGAAGCAATTTACCATAGATCGCAAAAATTATATCTTAGTTCTACCCCAGCTTACTTTTACGGAACTACATATTAGAAACAAGTAAGAACACTATTGCCGGGCAAGGCCGACGGTTAACCGTAAGGCCGACCCTACACCTTTTTGTTATCTAACACAATTCTTATTTTTATTATAGAACAAAAAAATATATTATATTGTTTCTATATTAAGACATATTTTTCATGGAAGCGGGCTCAAAACGCAACCTAATGTAGTACAAGTTTAATCCTTACATAGAGCAGGATCCAAGAATAGGCGTAGATGGTCCAAATTTTGTAGAGCTCATATTTGTATGAAATAACTATAACTTAATGGATCAATTTTCAGCACCACTTGTTAAAGCTTAGAAAGCTTCTGCTCTACAAAGGATCAATTTTCGTGAAAATCGTTATTAGGATAGGATCCAAAAAAGAGGCCGAGATGGTTCAAATTTGGTACAGTTCGTTTTGAATTTATCAATGAAAATTTCACTTTTTTGTCATATGAAATTTAGTTTTCGATATAGCAGAGAGATTCAAAATTTGCCCTGGTCGGTCCAATATAGAATGCCGATATACTACTATTTAACCATTTTTGCCGAGAAGTTTTGAAAATTTCCATTTTCAATAGCGTTCGTCTTTCGGTCAATATACATCGCTGCTTGAACACAAATTTACATGGACAGACATTAGACGGACAGAAGGACAGATAGGTTTAGATCAATCTAATTCTCGATATAATAAAAGGTGGGTCTATGTTAAGCCCACCTGCGCGTTACATACGTCCGTATTGACTTAATACACCCTTTATAACAAGTGGTGTACGATATAAATGCATACGAAAAAAATGAAAATTGTTCGAGTTGCGCTCCATATGCGGTGGATGATATTTGTGGTATATATGTTTTTTCATTACAAAGTAATTAATTTTCTTACATTTTTCCTCATTAGCCTGGTGATCGAAACATGATCAAACTGTCACTCTATAAATTTGTATATTCTTCCCCATGCTCTTCTCTTGCGAATTTTTTGCTAAGAGTTGCCGCTTATTTTGCTTTTCTCCAAGACAGAGCAAGCGGCAAGAAAATGTATAATTCTATAGTCGAATCCATAATTAACATTGAAAACTTTGGCCATAAATTTGACCTTGTTGAGAGAAGCGCTGATTACATTCGCACCGATCTACGTTTCATATCAATTCAATGATTGTCTTGTTAAGGCTACATTAACATACGTATGCGTATCGTATAATGCTTTTCGATATGCAACTGAACATTCCGTAAAGAGATGCGTCGTGATGTTGGAAATGAATGCACAAAAATTTAGGCTATAATTTCCGGGCAGTGTCTCTCCTGCCTGATGCTTAGCGAAAAGCCTGAAATTTTAACTAAAAATTTCTTTGATATTCTGGAAAATTCAAGCGATTTATTAGGCCAATACAAAAAAAACTTCTGAATTCATTCCCTTAAATAATAAAGTTCAGAGTCCATTCGTATGAGTGTTATCTTTTGGTTTTCTTTTTTTTTCCCAAGGTCAAGTCATAATACTTTAGTTTTCATTTCATCAGAAACGGCCAAAACGCAGTGCTATTTAATGGCTGTACTTTCGATATAATTTGATTTCGAAGAACAAATGCCTTTTTTTTCGTAAAATCATTTTTAATGATAATGAGATGGACTTTTATTATTAATTTATTGACTTTACTAATAAGCAAAGTCGTCGCAATTTAATCCGATCCATAATCTTATTTCAAAGATAAAAAGATTCCTTCATTATGACGGTTTCTTCGCATGAAGTCAAGTTACAATAGTCAAAGGTAATCGCTGCAGTTCTACATTGGCTCATTGTTATTGCTCCTGACTTTGCCGACTTGCAACAAAAACATAACCGAATAATTCCACCTACCGAAAATAAATGCGCGATGAAGTGTGTCTTCACTAAGTGAAAAGCATTATTTGTGAAGCTGAAACTGAAATAATGGAATCGACAAAATCGCTGGACAAATATATATATATATATATATATATATATAGTAGAGAATCTATGATTCACTTGAAAAGCCTAACATAGCAAAGCTTATACTCATTAAAAATTAATGTGTATTTTTGAAGTAAGAAATCTAGCCATCGACGGCCAGACTGGGGGATTTTTCTCTTTTTAACTTTGCATATATATTTGGTACTTATGTCCATTAAAACTTACTATTATTTATGATACTTGAACTGTATGATGTAAGCGTTTTAATTACTATAAACAAAAATTAAAAGATTACAGATTTTGTGAATGTTCAGTGTAACTATATACATATGAGCGCAAACACACATACACACACACACACACACACACACACACACATACACTTAAAATGATTTCATTTTAATATTTCCTGTTGCTTTGTTTTTTTTTTTTTTTATATATATACATTCGAGGGCACTTTAAACTGAATTAAATGCAATAACCTCTACCGACAATTCTTTAAATCTTTCGAATTAAACTCAAAAAGATTTCAAATAATTTTTTTTGTAAAAATTTCCTGAATTCATTATTGATTAAAAAAAAAAAAAACGCGTTTAAAAAGAGAGTACAAGTTAATACCTTCAGTTACTATAGTAACCGTTTGTGGTAACAACGAAATAACAGCATAAGATATAACAAAAAAAAAAAAAAAAAAAAACTGCATTTGTTTTTTACTAAGGAAAAACAAAAAAATATAATAATAAAAAAAAATTAAAAAAAAATAAAAAATAAAAAAAAATAGATGACTCGGTTTTCTCTTTATGCAAAAATTTACATTAAATGTTAATATTGTTACTTTTAGTTTGCATAATCGCAATCATAATGAAGAAAACGTAAATATATAAAGTTACGGATATATGTTAGACCTTATTTAGATTAAGAGCTAGCAAAGGTAAAGCAATGGAACACGTTCACCAAGCTCTATTAGCAATTGTTGCAATAATGCTCCAAACCATCATATTCAGGCACATTTTATGCTTACTATTATTATTATTATTATTATCATCGGTTTGCGTTTATAAGTAATATATAATTGAGGTTGCGTGCTAAGTGACGGCTTCGCTTTTTCATAAAAAGATTCTGTTTTCTTTTTTTTGAATTTTTTATTTATTTATTTTTATATTCTTTTTTTTTATGCTTTTAAGGGCAGTCTTTTGTTATTGTCATTTAGTTATGTCTGTCAACGTTTTTTTTATAAGTTCACTATGACGACTCAAAGACTGCTTTTACATACACATGCACATTTTAGATGATGATAAATAACAAATGCATCATTCGTTTATGCCATATATACAATTCATACAAAAAAAGAAAAAAAAAAAAAAAAAATGCATGCATAACAAAGGCTGTGTTTGGTGTTAAGTATTGCACAAGTAGCTACTGCTACTACTATTATTATTGCAGTATGACAATAGGCAATAACGACAGTAGAAAAATAAGTGACAGTAACAATAAACATTACGTTGAAGCAGACGATATCGTATAAGCAGACGCAAAGGTAGAGAAACAAAGCGACATACAGGCAATCAGACAGACTAACAGTCAGTCAGACAGACAGACAATATTAATTGCACATAAATGTACATAGTGTATAGGTATAAGAAGCACTTCTTTTAATATTCGCATTATATTTATTTTAACTAAAGTTTAGGAATTTCATAAAGAAATTATTTTTATTTCCTTAATAAAAAAAGGTAAGAAAAGGCAAGTA